TTAGTATAATTCCTCGGCTTTTTAACTTTTACTCCCGTCATTCGGGTTTTTGTTGCTAAGTCTATTATAGGGGTATTAGTCTTTCAAACATCTTTCAAACTTTCTAGTGTTCGCCCCCTGCACTGGTCATTGTAATTTCCTGCTTTCATCTATTGTAATATTCAACTTTCAAGCAATCAATGATCAAGTTTATTTTAATGCATTTCAATTTCATGTTGCAAGCTTTCTTTAAATTGTGATCAAATTTCTTTTCGTCCCGAAACGACCGAGAGAAGACGGAAGGTAGTCTAGCGGAGCAGACTAATTCCGCATGGTGTCCCTTTCTGTGCTAAGAAGAAAGGTAACCCGTGAAACCAAGAGTTGTTGGGAAGGAGTTTGAATATATATTTCAAAGAAAAGGCCAAATAGGGATAAATTTCAATAACTACAGAGTATAGATAGTAATTTACAAGCTTAGCTTCATGTAAAGTTGATCACTTTATGAGTGATCATCTACCTTAGGGAGTTGAGAGCACTTATGGTCTAATGGAACATGATTGGTCACAAAATTAACAAAGTTTAGTAGACAAAGGCTGACAACTCAGGACAGAGAGAAGATGCCACCACAGAAAAAGGAATTTATAAATTTGTTAGCACGGAAATTGTCATAGTGCTGACAAATTTAACGAAAGTGTAAGATATCACATTGTTTGAGGAACCCTAGATGCTGTCGGCGTAAAGGATCGTAAAAAAAAAACCCACCATCTTTGCCTACACAATGGTTAATCTAAGAAGTTGGAGCCTAAAATACCATAAGCATCAATGTAGAAGAGGAAAACCTTTACTGCAAAAATTGTACAGTCTTGAATTGCTGTAAAATATACAACTTACTGAAACCTTTATACAAACCAGAATGTGTTATACAGGCTACCATTATGAACTCTTCAATGAGCATGCACTCTATATGTCAATAAAGATGGAATTGGATTGAGTAATTTCAGTGACAGTGTTCCTCTCTTTAAATGCCGTCCACCCGTGATGTTTTCGCTGAAGTGAGGAGAGAAGAAAGTAACCGGCTCGTCATGTTGAAGGAGTTGAATGGGCCTGATGAAATCTTGGATGGATCGGCCCTCTTATCCAACTCTGGTAGGCCTATTGGGATTGGGCCTAAAGGAGGAGTAATTGGGTCATACGAATTCGGACCTAAAGGGGATGCTGCCAACTGAAAGTGTCGAGCGGGGTTGTAGATTAAGTAGTCTTGTATGGCATCAAATTGAGATTAGCTGATCAACAGAATCCACGTTATCACTCTAGCATCTTTGATTTTCCACTAAGCCAATTTTGAAAGTTTAGTAGGAGTTGAGTCACTTCCATTTATATGACCTCATAGCTCTTTACCCATAACAAACAAGCGAAATTGAAATTCTCAGGCCAAATCATTTTTACCCATGAATTTCACACCAAAGGAGTCGGTATTGCCTAGACATCGTAAAAGAATGTCTATTAGAACATGTTTGGGAATGATTAAAATCCAATTGTCTTTTTGTGGTTGCAA